TCACTCTATTATTTACAAAGCTTCATATGGATATTAAGGGAATTAACATCGGCAAAATTTACTACCTTATTACTACGGTTTATGTAATATGCAGTAAGAAAGGGTGAATACAAGTCTCCCTATTTGAGTGTTCACCCGGTTTAAAGTCGTGGATCTCGAGGAACATACGAATTCATTCGACCAATCAAAAACGTGGAACTAGTTCGAGAGTCTCGTTCAGGTGGCGCGTCGACGCGCCAAAACACAGCTCCAGATTATCACGCGTAGTATTACTATATATACACGACCAATCAAAAACGTGGAACTGCTTCGAGGGCCCTCCGCTAAGGTGGCGCGCCGAAACCAGAGAAAAATTGCCTTCACCAAAAACAGGCTCATTGGCAATCTCCCTACTCATCTCTGGTTCATATATCGACATAGCATGTTTCCATCATGCAGAATTGTTAACCAATCAGGTTAGTTTATTCCGCTCAAATCTCGTTTGTAATTGGTTAACCCTATTTCAACCCTACACGGTAGAACATATGGGGAAATGAGTAGAGAGATTGCCAATGGGCCTGTTTTTCGCAAAGATATAGAAATACCGTGATAGAACATCACCCTGCGGGGTGAAAGCCGTTTAGAAGGGGCGCCGAGGTACGTTAAGCCTACTTGTGATTGGTTACTATTGGGAACAAGCTCAGTGATGTAAAAGCGCTAAGAAAGCTTTGTTACGAGTCTATCGTTTTTTTGTGCGCATAAGTGAAATTGAATACAGTAGGACCTCGATTTTATGGAACTCGATTTTATGGACAAACCCCACTTTCTTGCTAACACTTTAAAGATTGGGGCGCATGTGCGCTCCCCCAGCTAGTACCGTAACTACACTTTAGTGTCGGCAGCCTTCCGGGCCCGTTTATAGTTTATAATTGAAAGGATGCCACGACCATATGATACGGTACTGTCCACAAGCGCACGAGTGGCTATACGCATTGTAGTGGCGGAGCTTAGGGAACCTCGATTCTGTGGACTTCCGGTCCCGACTTGTCCATAAAATCGAGGTCCTACTGTATTGATAAATATTGAACAAACAATTTGTAATCCAGCTATTTGCTTTACCTTTAATAATTTCGAGATTGATGTCACCTTTAATGAACTATTTAAAATAACTATCGTCTATAGTAACTTATTGCTTATGCATTAAAGTAAAATAATAGTGATTATTCTTTTTTGTAATTGGCGGTACACAGCATGTGCACAAGGAGAACCAATCATAGTAAGGTAAGAATCAGCTTGAATTTGATTGACTACGCAGCGATCTCTTCCACATCCCTCATCATGTCTACGCACCCTTGTCAAAAATACCAGTTTATGCTCCATCACGGTATTTCTATATTTATGGTTTTTCGTGACCTCACTTTTATTCAGGTTTCGGCGCACCACTTCAGCGGAGGGCTCTCGAAGCAGTTCCACGTTTTTGATGGGTCGAGTATATATAGTAATACTACGCGTGAAAATCTGGAGTCAGTGTTTTGGCGCGTCGACGTGCCACCTGAACGAGACTCCTGAACAAAGATTATTAAAAATTATTAAGATAACTGAATTATCAGAAAATTTTGTCGAGGTAGAACATACTGATAGTTCGAAATATTACAAATAAAATTATCCTTCCGTAGGCATGAATTAAAAAAATTGGTTAAATTGAATCAGGCTACTCAAAAATGTATGAAACTAAAAATTTCTAAGCAGATATACTATTTGTCTCATCTCATTTT